GCGCGCGGGCCGTGCCAGCTCACGCAGCCCAGCATTTCTGGTTGAGACCGTATTATTTTCATACATCGGATTGGTGTCCATTGCTATTGTTCTTAGAACATTGTTATTGCTCTAAGAACGTTTAGGGGTAGGCCCATGGGCTATAGGAATGCTGGGACGGTCGGTCACTGCGCAGTGCATCATTTCCCTTCGGCACATCCTTGGCCGCTTCCACTGGCCGCGCTCAGCTCACAATGTGTCGACATGATCTTCCAAGGCCATTGCATCCTTCTCGTCCGTCCTTATGATACGGGGTGGCTGTATCCCTTTCAAATATCGGAATGGCCCGACGCTCTCACCGACCACGGCAAGCGCGGTGGCGGTCATCAGGCAGGAGCAGCGGGCGGGTGTCGGGGGGCCCTGTGCGGCACGCGATCTCGCCCTGCGGGCGCATTGCCCCGCCTCGGCCGCGCGCGCGCGCCCCACGCATAGCCCTGACGCTGGCAGTCTGTCGGCGGCGAGCGAGGGGAGGAAATGAGAAGGACGAGGCATTTTCAGAAGGCGGCGGGGCTTCTCAGAAGGCCTCTTGGCCTTCCGAGAGGTTCTCTGCGTCTTCGGGGAAGGCTTGACAGAAGCTTCTGAAAAGGCCGGGGGTAACCACCCCCGAGCCCTCTGAGAAGGCCCACCCGCTCCCACTTCTCCCTGGGCTCGCCGCCGAGTCCAGGCCTTCCAGATGGGGTCGGAGCAGATGACCTGGTCGTAGGATCGCGCCGCATCGCCGACGCATCGGCGGTGCGGTGAGAGGTGGAGGCCGATCTTCTCTACGCCGGCGGTGCCGATGCGTCGGCGATGCATCGTCGATGCATCGTCGATGCATCGTTGATGATGTTGATCCACGCCGGCGGTCCCCGTGCGTCGCCGACGTCGGCGATGCGGCGCGAGCCTTGGACCCCACCTGCTCGGGACCCCTTTGGGAGGCCTGTCGACAGGCGCCGCGGCGCACTAGGACTGCGCCGCGCCGCGCCGCGGGGCGCGCGCCGACCCGGGTGGGACATCCGGGGTCGAAGGAAAAGAGAGCCAACAAGAGCAAAGGCTCAAAAACACGCGGACACAGCACTTCTTCACTGTGTGTGTGTGTGTTTGTGCGTGCGTGCGTGCGTGCGTGCGTGTGTGTGTGTTGTGTGTGTGTGTTGTGTGTGTTGTGTGTTGTGTGTGTGCGTTTTCCACCGTGTTTTTTTCCACCGTGCGTTTTGTTTGCCCACCGTGTGTTTTGTTCCACAGTTTGTGTTTTGTGTGTGTGTGTGCATGTGTGTTTTCCCACTGTGTGTTTGCGCTTTTGTTCCACAGTGGGTTTGCTCTGTCCCCACACATGCTCGCGTGGTGCAAAACTCAAGACGGGAGTTGCTTGGCCGTTTTGGGGCCCCTGAGAGCCCTCGCGCGCCCCCGGGACCGCAGCACAAGGACTCGGGATTCGAAAAAGGAGCAGCTGCGTAAACATGAGTTTTCGGCGCTCCGCGCGCAATTCTCGGATCGGCGCTGGGGCCCCCTGGCGGCGCCCCCAGCGCCGCCCTTGGCGCGGTCCGCGCGCCAGGGAGGGGGGTCCAGCGCGGATCCAAGCAATCCGCGCGGACCTCCGAAGGTTTCACTAGTATGTTCATGCCGTTTTGTGTCCCCCTGTGGGTGAGACACCGGTCCCCTGGGAATGGGTCGGAACTTCTGGTGACCCCGCACAGACAAAGTCAGGAACTCGACGGACGGGGCTAGGACGAGGATGAATCCGTTCCAGAGCGTTCCGGAACGCTCTCCGAGCGTTACAGAACGCTCTGAGAAGACCCCCGCGCCCACGACACCCTCCAGAGCCGACGGATCTCAGAGATTACTTACAGTCGAACCGAGATATAAGATCGAGGTCGGTTCGGGGAGAGTGCCCTACCGTTATTTGTGCTTGTTGGACGTTATTGTGCACCCTGGGGGGGTACTTGGATGTTCTGTGCGATTTGGCCGGCGGAGGGTCTCGTGCTCTTGAGGGATGTCAGGTCTTCTGTCCTGGGTCCGACTGTACTGATCCTCACCAGATTTTATCGTCGTCCTGGCTTCATCTCTACCTCTCATGTTCAGCCCGTCTCCTGCCGCTGCTGCTCGCGCTGCCGCACCCGCTGCGTCTGGCTGCCGAGATGTGCACCGGTCGCTCCCTTCCGCCGCCCTTGCGGGGGCGGCGCACGGGGGAGGGCAAGACCGAAGAGGGGAAGGAGACGTGGGCACGACGTCAAACGGTCGCAGGCACACATTCCCCCTCCTCCTCCTCCTCCTCCGCTTCCTCCTCCCCCTCCTCCTACTCCTCCTCCTCCTCCTCCTCCTCCTCCATTCCTTTTCCTTATAAATACCTTCTCCCTGTCGCACCCCGAGGCCAGTTTTTTGGGCGGACCGGGCGTTTCGCCTGAGACTCCCTCACCATTTACGTTTCTGAAGATTAAACGTTCGTAGCAGTTTCACAGATGGAGGGCGGGTGGTTTTCAAAATGTGGCTCTCGCCTTAGCGCGGCGCACACTCGTCTTAAAAACTTGCAAGAGGTTCACGGGTTGAGGGCGAGTGGTTTTCAAAATGTGGTTGTCGTTTAGCGCCGCGCACATTCGTTTTCAAAGCTTGCAAGAGGTTCACGGGTTGAGGGCGAGTGGTTTTCAACATGTGGTTCTTGCCTTAGCGCTGCGCACATTCGTTTTCAAGAGTTTCACGGGTTGTGGGCGAGTGGTTTTCAAAATGTGGTTGTCGCCTCAGCGCCGCGCACATTAAGTTGAAGAAAATGCAAGAGGTTCTCAGATTGAGGGCGGTTCCTTTTCAAAATGTGGCTCTCGCCCTAGCGCCGACCACATTCGTTCTGATTCTCTGTGTTGAAGTCCTAGGAATGGCGTTCTGGCACGATTCAGGATCGTCAAGACGCAACAGTCAGGTTGATCCTTGGCGTTGGAATCCCGAGAACAATGTTTTGGCATGCTTCAGGGTCTTCAAACGGGTGTCTTCTAACGAGGCAGTTTCCTTAATGGAAATGAACCGTTGTAAGGGGCATATGAAGAGGGAGCTTGGAGGGAGGGAGGGTTTACTCCAACATCGTTGCTGACTCTTGGGTTCACACTGGTCCTCCCCCTCCCCCTCCTCCTCCTCCTCCTCCTCCGCCTCCTCCTCCTCCTCCTCCTCCTCCTCCTCCTCCCTCCTCCTCTTCCTCCTCCTTCTCCTCCTCCTTCTCCTCCCCCTCCTCCTCCCCCTCCTCCCCCCCCCTCCTCCTCGGAGCCCCGCGCGGGGTGTCCCTGCGGGTCTCGGGCCCTCCTCTCCGTCGCCTGCCCCTCTCGCCGCCGTGCCTCGCCATCGGGCCCCCGCCCGCTCGCCTCTCTCTTCGGCTCGGGCCCGCAGCTGCCCTCGGCGCTGGCGCTCGGCTCTCCAGTCAAAGACCCTAATAGGGACGCGCGGTACGGACGCGAGACCCTTGGACGCCGAAGTTGGGATGTTTGGGGCGGCGGACGACGGAAACCTCAATGACGCAAGAGCAAGGAAGAGCAAGGACGCAAGGGTGCCCTGAGCAAAGTCGCGCGTCCTTACTCGGGTTTTTGACTGTAACCCCACCACCCACCAAACCACCCAAAGCCAACCCGAAGGTCTCAATTTGCCCTCCATTTCCAGTGGGGGGGGTCGGGGAACATTGAAAAAACACGTATGGAGCCCGTACCCCCCCCGACCCGAAATGCGGGTCTTCGGATTGGGTTGGGTTCGGCGCCCCCTCAACGCGCGCACCGAATAGGCCACTCTTGCATAGGGTAGCTCCTGCGTGTGGCCGACACCACGAAGCCCCGGGCGGAGTTCTCGGATCTGCGCTTCGCTTCCGGCCAGGGCCAGTTGTGCGCGCGGTCAGCCTCGAGGCTCGTGCCCGTGGCCACCCTGCGGAGGATGGACATCGCGACATGAGCGCGCCCGCTGCGACTGTCCAGGGTCGGCGATGTTGTTTCGACGATTCGCGGCTGGTTCCTTTTTTCGGGCTTCTTCCTCCTCCTCCTCCTCCTCCTCCACTGCAGGTTTTTGTCGTCGTCGCTGCACCCATACCAGTGACCCGTTCCCCCCCCAGACCTGCTCGCGTCGTGGCGAAGAAATCGGACTGGAGTTGCTGTTTTCTCGCCTCGCCGTTGCCCTTGCCCTTGCCGTCGCCGTCGCCGTCATCGTCGGCGCCTTCGCGGTCGTCGCCCTCGGTCCGTTCGCTACCGTCGTCGTCATCCTGGGCCTCGCCCTCCGTCGCCCTCCCTCGCCTCCACCGTCGCCGCAGGCGTCGTTGTAGTCGTCGCCATCGCCGTCGCCGTCGTTGTCGTCGTCGTCGCCGTTGCCATCGCCGTCGCCGTCGCCGTCGCCGTGGCCGTCGCCGTCGACGTTTCCGTTGCCGTCGCCGTCCCCGTCGGCGCCTTCGCCGTCGTCGCCCCCGACCCATTCGCCGTTGCCGTCGTCGTCGTCGTCGTCGTCGTCGTCGTCGTCGTCGTCGTCGTCATCCTCGCTCTCGTCCTCCTTCTTCGTCCCGCCTCGCCGCCGCCGCGGCCGCCCCCGTCGCCGTCGCCGTCGCTGCCGTCCCCGTCGCCGTCTTCGTCATCGTCAGCGCCTTCGCTGTCGTCGTCGTCGCCGTCGTCGTCGTCATCCTGGCCCTCGCCCTTCGTCGCCGACGTCGCCGCAGTGGTCGCCGTCGCCGTCGCTGTCGCCGTCGCCAGCGCAGGCGCCGTCGGCGCCCTCACGGTCGTCGCCCTCGCCCCACTCGCCGTCGTTGCCGTCGCCGTCATCCTGCCCTCGCCCTCCGTCGTCGTCCCGCTCTCGCCGTCATCGCACTCGTCGTCGTCGTCGTCGTCGTCGTCGTCGTCGTCGTCGTCGCCGTCGTCGTCGTCGTCGTCGTCGCCGTCGTCGTCGTCGTCGTCGTCGTCGTCGTCGTCGGTGCCCCCCTCACCGGCGCTGCCCTTCGCCGCTCCCGCGCGGCGCGCGCGCGCGCGCGCCCCCGGGAGGTCGGCGAGCTGCCCTCGGCGGACGCGGTGCTGCTGCTGGTCCCCGAGCGGCGCGCGCCCGCGCCCGCGCCGCCTTGGGGGGGGGAGAGAGGGGGGCCCGGACATGCTCGCGCCGTCAATCCCAGCCCCCCTCGGGTAATGAAAAAATCATGACGGGAGGTTTTTCCTAATTTTCGGCCTTTGGAGGCCCTAACCGGCCCTCTGGACCGTCAAAAAGCTACTCAGGATGAAAAACCGGTCCTGGGGAATGGGTCGAGATCTCTGGGGGTCGACGTCATGAAAAAATCATGACGTCGGGGTCTGGGATCATCGGGAGCCCTGAGACGGGGGTCAATGCAAACGGGGGTCAGCCAGAGCGCCCGATCTCACAGGATCCTGCGGGGCCAGGGTCGCACCGATCCAGGCTTGGGTGCAGGGTCCTGCTGGATCCTGCGGGATCCTGCAGGATCCTGCGCATTGACCCGGGTTTGGGTGCAGGATCTTGCAGGATTCTGTAAGGCTTGTCTGACCCGGGTCTGGCTTGACCGGGGCCAGAAGATTTCCGAAATCAGGCGATCGCAAACATGGATTTAAGGGTGGGTGGACCAGCGACGGTCCCCGTTTCCATGGGACATCGCGGATGTCCGCCGCCGAGCGAGGCGGCACCGGCCGCTCGCGCTGTGAGAAAATCTGGACGGGATTGTTTTTCGCTGTTGTCGGCATCTGGGGGCCCTTAACGCCGGTTTTTGAAGGTAGGTATTGTTGGATTCCCAGGTGCTTTTGCTGTGTTCTTTTAGTGCTCTGGGAGAACCTGAACCCACTCTAATTATTTGATCCGTCTTCCTGATTCATGTTTTTACCTATTTCTTCCGACCGACGTGTGTATCTGTTCCCCGCGAGGACTGTCGAGGAGCACTTTCGGGGGCCAAGATCGGGCTGGACGAACGGGGGGAATTGGGAGAGGGGGGCTCACGAAAGTTGCTGCGTGCAGCTGGTTTCGGCCTCACCGAGGGGCCCATTCCTCGATACATGGCCGCCTCCGGCGCCGGGAGGCGCCGGGAGAATCAGCTACGTGAGCCGATTCTCAAACCCCCCCTTTGCTATCCCCCCATTTCGCCCGACCCGACAAGAGACGGGGTTCAGTGCAAACGGGGGTCAGCCAGGGCGCCAGATCTTGCAGGATACTGCAGGGCCGGGGGCGCACTGACCCGTGCTTGGGTGCAGGATCCTGCAGGATCTTGCAGGATCTCGCGCGTGGACCCGTGTTTGGGTGCAGGATGCTGCAGGATCTTGCAGGATCTTGCAAGGCCTGACTGACCCTGGTTTGCATTGACCCAGGTCAGTGCGTCCTCGACATTGTTGTACACCCTGCGGAAACAAACACACGCACGAAGCCGAAACAAATCGCGGGGAATGGGCGTCCGAGCGATGGCGAGACCTCGGCGGGGCTTCGATGGACTGAACATATCGGAGAGGCCCTTGGCTGGAGTGACCTCTTCACCACCCACCAAACCACCCCTACCCAACCCGAAGGGGCCTCCATTTGCCCTCCAGTTCCAGCGGGGGGGGCGGGCGGGAACGTCGAGCAAAAACACACATGGAACCCGTACCCCCCCCCTCCAAAATTCGGGTCCTCGGGTTGGGTTGGTTGGGGTCGCCTTTTTGCCTCTCCGCCGCGGTGGTGCCTGAGGCCTCGCCAGCTTCAGGTAGTTCGTCTTTGGCGCGGCCCGCTCTGACCTGACTCGCCGCTGTTGCGCTCTCGCTCGCGGCTGTTAGCAAAAGTTGGGTCGGGGTGGCCTGGAAGGTAAGCGCCTCTGGCGCGGGCTCGCCGAGGTGCCCCGAGACGCCCCCCCCGGCGGGCGCGGCCGCCCGCGGCTCCCGCGCGCTCGGAGCCCCGGGTGGGGGGGGGGCGGGCGGTCCTCGGCGCGGGCTCGATCGGCTGCACGCACTCCTCGGCCGCTGAGAGTAGGTACTTTGTTGGGTTCCCAGGTGCCAATCTGCTTCATATAAGCGCCTTCTCCTGCTTCGACGATCGAGTGGCTTCGCCTGTTCCGTCCTCCTCGGGGGGCGGACGGAGCCCAATCTGCTTTCAACGCCTTCCTGCTTCACGTTTCTGCCTACTTCTTCCGACCGATGGGTAGGATTGACCCTTCACAGTGCTGGCATGTGGTGCGGGCTCGCTTGGGACCCCCGACCGCTGAACGCGAAGCGGGCGCAGCGGCTTGCGCGCCCGGGTTTGGTCCCCCGCGGCCCCCAAAAAGCCGCGCACCAAAGGTCGCTCTTACCCAGGGTCGCTCTTGCGTGTAGCCGAGTCGAGTAGGGGATCGATTGCAGGACGGAATTACCCCAGAACTCATGCCTGCGTCGAATTTACAGAGCAAGCGTGAGCATTCTACAGTCAGCCTGCATAGCAAAGACGGGCGACTCTCCAAGGTTACACTTGCATCCTTCCCCTTCCGCCCATCCTTGGCCGGTCGACATAGCTTTCCAAGGCCCTCGATTTTTTATCGCGCGTCCTTGCTGTATTGGTTGCCTGTACGTACTTTTGTCGTAGAATCGCCTGGGATGAAACGGGTAGGTCCCGCACCGGCCCCAGAGGCGCGTTCGGGCGCGACGCGGCGACCGCGTGGGGACGCCCGATGGCGTTGTGTGTGAGGAGGAGGAGGAGGAGGAGGAGGAGGAGGAGGAGGAGGCGGAGGAGGAGGGAGGAGGAGGAGGAGAGGGAGGAGGAGGAGGAGGAGGACGAGGAGGACGAGGAGGGACGAGGAGGAGGACGACGAGGAGGGGGGAGGAGGAGGAGAGGAGGAGGAGGAGGAGGAGGAGGTGGAGGAGGAGGAGGAGGAGGAGGAGGAGGAGGAGGAGGGAGGTGGAGGAGGAGGAGGAGGAGGAGGAGGAGGGAGGAGGAGGAGGAGGAGGAGGGAGGAGGAGGAGGAGGAGGAGGAGGAGGAGGAGGAGGAGGAGGAGGAGGAGGAGGAGGAGGAGGAGGAGGAGGAGGAGGAGGAGGAGGAGGGGAGGGGAGGAGGAGGAGGAGGAGGAGGAGGAGGAGGCGGAGGAGGAGGAGGAGGAGGAGGAGGAGGAGGAGGAGGAGGAGGAGGGAGGAGGAGGAGGAGGAGGAGGAGGAGGGAGGAGGAGGAGGAGGAGGAGGAGGAGGAGGAGGAGGAGGGGAGGAGGAGGAGGAGGAGGAGGACGGGACGAGGAGGAGGAGGAGGAGGAGGAGGAGGAGAGGAGGATGGAGGAGGAGGAGGAGGAGGAGGAGGGGGAGGAGGAGGAGGAGGAGGGGGAGGGGGAGGGGGAGGGGGAGGGGGGAGGGGGAGGGGGAGGGGGAGGGGAGGGGGAGGGGGGAGGGGGAGGGGGAGGGGGAGGGAGGAAGGATGATGATGAGGAGGAGGAGGAGGAGGAGTAGGAGGAGGAGGAGGAGGATAGCTAAGCAGGTGTAAAAAGGGGGCGCTGCGGATGGGGAGGGGTGTCACGACGAGCTAGAGGAGGGACAAGGCGGGGGGGAAGGTGGCAGAGGCGAGGCGGGACCAGAGGGCGGGGCAATCATCAAGGAGAAAAACGGAGGGAGGAACCGGCGGAAGGAAAAGAAGGAAAAGGGAGGGAGGGAAGGAAGGAAGGGAGGGAGGGGTAGAAGGGAGGGGCGGGAGGTGGGCAGGGAAGGTGGGAGGGAAGAGGGTGATGGAAAGAGGAGCACGGAAGCAGCAGCATCATAAAACCCAACATCGGCCCGAGAACTTCGCAGACCCGCAAAGAAACAGTAGCAGCACGTTCTGCCCCCATCCTAGAACGCTTTTATTTCCCCTTCCCTTCTTCACACATTCATGCGTTCTTGTCCCCTTCCCTCCTTCCTCTCGACGCGTGGGGACACGATTGGCGACATGGGGAGCGAAAGCAACGACAACGATGTCGACCGCGGCGGCGGCGACGATAAATTCGCAGCAAGCCTCCAGGAGCCCATGGGAAGAAACTTCTTCAAAGCCTCCGAGAAACTCCGACGACGTGCGGTGACCGCTCGAAGACAACCGAGAACCCTCGAATGCTTCCGAACATCGTCGTCCATCGACGGCGGCGACGGAGGCGGCGGCCACGACGTCGGCGGCGGCGGCGACGGCGGCGGCGGCGGCGACGACGGCGGCGGCGTTGGCTACGGCGACAGCGGCGACGGTGGCTGCGGCGGCGACGTTGGCTACGGCGACGGCGGCGATGGCGGTGACGACGGCTACGGCGGTGGCGGCGGCGACGGCGGCGGCGACATTGGTTGCGGCGACGTTGGCGGCGGCGACGTTGGCGGCTGCGGCGGCGCTTGCGGCAGCCGCGCTTGGCGCGAGGCGCCCTGGTACCTCGGCCGTGAGCTTCCAGTCGCTCGCCTTCCCGACGGGCACGGGCGGCAAGGACGCTTCCCGTTGCGGGCGTCGCGCCGTGGGGGGGGGGCCTGGCTTCCTCGCTTCATAGAGCAATCGAGAGTCTGCCCTTCCAGGGTAGAGGATCGATGATCGAGGACTGTGCCCTTCCAGTCGTTCGCCTTGACGACGGGCACGGGCCGCAAGGACGGTGCCCTTCCCGGCGGCGCGCCGCGAGTGGGTGCCTGGCTTCCTCCGCGGGCGACATTTCTGCCAGTACCTAGCGCGTCTGGGACTTTCTTGGAAGGAGCGCCGCAAGATCGAGGCGCACTGGACGTGGGCAAGGATCGAGCCCCCAGGGGGGCAGAGTTTTTTTGCTATCCACGCCCAGTGCGCCGCGGGTCTCCAGTGGAGGGGGGCCCGAAACCACAGGCCGCAGTGGACATAGGGCACGACGCGAGCGACAGCCCGTGGCCCGATCAAGCTGCCCTTCCTGCTCAGCGCTCGGTTCCCCGTGGGCGAGATCCTTGGTATCGGCATACAGTCGATGCGTTGACCTAAGGAACCCTAAATAAGGAACGAGACCCTTTTTTTGTCGTAAGTTAAACTTCGACTTCCCATCGAAAACGGAAGGGAAGCCTTGGGCAATGTGTGGAACAATCGAGGAACATCGAGCCCCTCCCCAACGAAAAGGGTTCCTTCTTCAGCGCCCCGACTGTATAGTGGGAGCCCATGCGAGAATCACATTACGTATTGCCAGGCTTCCCTGGGAATCTTTGGTTGGCGTTCGCATTGAAGGCCTGCATCGGTCGCCCAGAAGCCGCAGCTCGCAGGGTACGTCTCCTGACTGTCATGCCGCTGAGATGCGTTGCGCGAGCCATGAGTACACCGCCTGGCCCATGGCACCCGGGGTGTCTTCGCTGACAGCCGCTGAGCAAGAGACCCGAGCTTGGCCGAAGAAATGTCGGCGCATGTCACGGTTGGGTTTCTTGCGATGGGTTTCTTGCTGACGCCGACGTCTGCGGGCGGGCCACGCGGCGCGCGGCAGGCGCCGCCTCCTCTGGGCAGCACGCCGCCCCCCCCGGGGCCACGAGCGCCGGACGCAGCGCCACTGCTCGGAGCGTCCGGCCTACCCGCTGGGCGGGGAGGAAAGCGGTCGGAGGCCAAGACAGGGGCGAAGGAATGCATGCGTCCAGGGGTGAGGAGGAGAGGGGGAGGAGGAAGAGAGGGGGAGGAGGAATGCATGCGTCCAGGGGTGCCGATGATCGATGTCTTCGACGAGGCTCAACCCTCCCAAGGCTCCAGCCTTCCTCGCTCTCGCTGGCCGCGCCCCGCTCGAGAAGCCTCGGGATGGGCGTCCAAGGCCCTTGCATCCTTCTCGCGCATCCTTACTATATACTGGTTGACTGCAATGCCCACCCCTGGGCTGCTCTCCCCTGTCGTCGCCGCCGAAACGGCTTTCGGTATCGCGAGCGGCGCACAGATCCGTGTCCGCGCCCGCGCGGCCTGGATGCCGGGGCGGGATGTCCCGCGGGTGCGCGGGTACGCATGGCGCACGGAGGCGTTCTTGCCGCCGGCGCCCACGAACCAAGAAGCGCCCTGGAGCCGCGGGGTCGCGGCCCAGGGGCCCCGCCCCCGAGGCCGCGGATACCGATATGTTGTTCGCTCACGATTCGAGTGTGGAGTCGGTTTTGTCCCTCTCACAGGAGGAATGCTCAAAAGTAGTATCAAACAAAGAAAATAGTCTGGGGACCAATCAGTGAGCATTTGTCTGTATTCTTGAAGATGTTTTTGGTATGTCTCAGTGTCCGTCCAAGATCCCCCTGTAGGGGGACATGTCCCACCTGATTCAAGTGCAGCCGGCTCCCTCGTTTTCGCCGTGCCTCCCTTGCCGTGTCAAGATGCCTGTGAGCCTGGCCCTCGCTGCTTGGCGGCAGCCGAGTGCCGAAGCCGGTTTTTCCTGAAGCAGGCTGCCCGCTCCCGCCGTGCCGCGCCGAGAACACGGTTGTCCTTGCCCCGGGCCTGCGCAGAGCTCGTCTCGCCCCGGTACGACTGCCACGCACTCCTCAGTATCGTTGATCCGACCCCCATCCCCATCCCCTATCCCCTTCGAGACCCCCACCACATCCCCCCTCCAGTTAGGGTGTACACCCCTCGAAGCCCGACGGGGACGGCCTGCATCCCCATCTCTGCGGGGGTCAATCGGCCAGTGGGGCCCAGGCCACGCCGCTGGGGAGGGGGATCGGCGAAACGATGCTCAACTCCGGCGCGCCGCGCGCCCCGAAGGCGGGCCGCTCGGCCAGCGGAGGCCGCCCAGAGCTGCACCCCGCCGCCTGGCACCCGCGGAGGCCTGCTGCCCGCTGCGGCGCGCTCCGGCACGCGGCTGTGCATGCAGCGAGCGCTCGAGGGCGCTCGAACGCTGTTGGTGGCCGCACCGCGTCGTGAGTCGGTCGGGATTCGGTGTCACCGCGCGGTTTGGGACTCGAGTCGTTCTCCCGGGATGTATCGCGGCGAAGGGGGCCTCCAGGGTCACCAAAACGACCGCGCGGCGAGATCGCTTCGGACGGGGCCAGGGCGGGGACGAATCCGTTCCGGAGCGTGCCAGAACGCTCTCAGGGCGTGCCTGAACGCGCTGAGAAGGCCGCAGCGCCCAAGACACCCCCCTGAGCCGCCCGATCTCACAGATCCCCGACTTCTCCTCACTCGATGGCCTCGTCCTGGCTTCGCTTTTCAGATCCCCAAATCATCCGGGGTAACTCGGGTCAGGGCTAACTGGGGGTCGTTTTTCGGGGATCCGAGCCCGAGTTGCCCCAGGCCCGAGGTACCCCGGATAACTCGGGCGCCCAAGCATTCTCGCTGGGGTTTCCGAGGTCTTTACGAAGAAGAAAAAACGGCATAAACAAAACTTTGGGCGCTCCGCGCGGATTTCTTGGATCCGCGCCTGGGCCCCTGAGCGGCGCCTCCGGCGCCGCCCCTGGCGCGCTCCGCGCGCCAGGGAGTGAGGGGGGTCCAGCACGGATCCAAGAAACCCGCGCGGAGCGCTAAAAGTTTACGTTTATGGGGCTGGGGTTTCGTCGTTCAGCGCTAAAAGTTTTAGCGCTGAAGTTTACGCGTCGTGGGCGCTAAAAGTTTACGTTTAAGTTTAGCGCTAAAAGTTGTTCTATTTCTAGCTTTGTCGCTGGGGCTTTCGAGGCCACCACGCGGTCCGTCGCCACACGGGTGCGGAGCCCCAGGGAGCTCACGGGCCTGCGCGCCGCCAGAGGGGAGGGGAACAGGGCCCCGAGGGGCAGAGTCTTTGTGGGTCCCGGAAACGGCAGGGCCGTTTTTTCACCGTTTCCAGAAAAATGTCCCTTGAAAATGGAAACGGCAACAAAAAACGGCGACCGGAAACGGCAAAAAAACGGCTCCAGGATTGGAACCGGAGCCGAAACCGGTTAAAAAACGGCGACGGAATTGGTGAAAAAACGGCGTCGGAACCGGCAAAAAAACGGCAAAACGGAACCGGTAAAAAAACGGCCTTGTCGCTTCCAGGGCCCATTAAGGGCAGAGTCACGACTTGAGGAGCGGAGACGGGCGGGAGGACCCAGGTAAGCTTGGCATTAAGTTTAGGTCCGGCATGTCCCCCTACAGGCGGATTTGGGGCGAAAATGAACAATATTCCAAACAAAAACAGCCACAAATAATAGAAAGATAGTCCCACGAGTTTGGTTTGTCTATTTTTGACCTGTAGAGGGACAAGCCCAACTTCATGACTCAGGAGGAATATTCAAAAATAGTAAAAAATAGTCGGGGGACGATTCTTCTACCACTTGACTATTGTTGCGCATGTTTGAAGTATACTTTATTTTTCGTCCAAAATCCGCCTGTCGGGGGCATGCCCGACCTAAGCTTGGCATCGCTCGGACGTGTGCATGTTTGGTCGGCGAGGACCATCGAGGAGCACCTCGGACCAGCTTGCGAAGAAGCACGCGCACGAGATCGAAGAAAAGACACGGGGTCAATGCGCACGGGGATCGGCCAGGGCGCCGGATCTTGCAGGATCCTGCAGGGCCAGGGCTGCGCTGACCAGGGCGTGGGCGCAGGATACGGGAGGATTGTGCAGGATCCTGCGAAGCCTGACTGACCTGGGTCTGGACTGATCCCGGATCAGTAGGTCCCCCAGATGGGGGGTGAAAGGGAGGAGTCGGGGGTGGACAGACCTCCGACCCTGGCACGTCGATTGAGGAATTGGGCGTTTTCGGTTCGCGAGAGGCCGTCACGGCCGTCATTTTGCGGGTCCAGGTCCGTCGGTTTCGGTCCCAGGCCGTTTTCACTAAGGTGAGATCTACTAAAGGGAGGTTTGTCCACCGCCGAAGGGGGGGGCGACGACGACGAGGAGGACAGGGGACCCAGGACTGTGGCCCGCGTTGGGGCGAGAGCAGCGCAGGTCTGACTGGCGGGAGCAGCGCGCCGATCGAGAGCTGCGGCCAGCGCTGCAGACCGGAGGCAGCTTATTGAAAGGCACGGCGATGTTTGGAAGCCCGCGCGTGGAAACGGTGGAGCGGTCGAGAGTCGAGGAGGTTTGGGGCGTCGTGGGGGCGCATTCGGAGCCCTGGGGGGTTCTTCGGGGGGTCCCGGGTGTCCGCTTGTTTCCTCCAGGATGCCGCGAGCACCTTCGTGGCGATGCCCCTTGGGCATTGCCTGGCCAATCCCTCGCTCTTCTCCCAATCCTCGCTGCCTTTCTCACCCGTCTGATGTTTGTACCTTCATCATATACCGGCGCCTCTTCTCAGTCCTACTGTGCCCTTGACTATCTCGCTTTGCTTGTTGTATTTCTCGGCCGTCCTAAAGACCGAGGCGGAGTCCAAAGTAATTTCCCCGTCGTATCTCCTACCCTCCTCCGTCCTTCTTCTCTCCTCCCTCCGAAGGGGGGGTCCTTGCGCCCCCGTCTGGCCGCTTCAGCCAGCGAGGACGCACAGCTTGCCGTCATCGATGCCTTCAAGGGCAACGGCACAGCCCCGCACCTGCAGGTCGAGGACCACATGACCGGCAAGGAGGAGCAGACCGTGTCCAAGCGGACATCGGGGGCGCCGTTTTTTCCAAGAAGACACGTTGTGTACAAACGTTCGCCTCCAGAGCTCTGCGCGGATTTCTTGGATGAGCGCCCGTCTCCTCTGGCGGCCCCTCCTCCTCCTCCTCCTCCTCCTCCTCCTCCTCCTCCTCCTGCTCCTCCTCCTCCTTCCGGCGCCGCCAACGACGCGCTCCGCGCGCCAGGAACAAGGGGTCCCAGCGCCGATGCAAACACGTTGGCCGGAGGCCCGAAGCTTTGCCTTTCTGCCGGCTGGTCTTCTTCCCTCGGCGACCGAGCAAGGGGGGGAAGCGAGAAGGGTTAAGTCGGGCCTGTCCTCCTACAGGGGGATTTTGAAGGACAAATCAAAAATAGTCACAACATACCCCCACATGGTCAAAGAATGCTCAAACATCGTCCCTGGATTATTTCCCAACCTAGGCTCTGCCTAGAAGGGTTCTTACTCTCTCTGCTTAAAGGGGCCGGGCAGTGTGGAAATCGTCCCGGGCGGTTCCCCCGGCATCCGCCCCGCGGTTCCCCCAGTTACGTCCCCTTAGGTTAGCGTTGCTTATCTCATATTAGCTTAGCTTATGTCATCTTAGCTCAGCTTAGCTTCATCTTAGCTCAGGTGTATCTTAGCTTAGCTGACCTTCATCTTAGCTTCGCTGAGCTTTAGCATAGCAGAGCACAGCATAGCATAGCAAGCATAGCGTAGCATAGCATAGCGCAGCACAGCATATCATAGCATAGCCCAGCATAGCATAGTATAGCATAGCATCGCATCGCATAGCATCGCATAGCATAGCATAGCGCAGCACAGCACAGCACAGCACAGCGCAGCATAGCATGGCAGAGCAGAGCATAGCATAGCGCAGCTTAGCATAGCATAGCCTAGCATATTTTAGCATTGCACAGCGCAGCATGACATAGCATAGTTTAGCGTAGCTTAGCTTAGCTTAGCATAGCATAATGCAGCATAGCATCGCATCGCATCGCATAGCATAGCATAGCATAGCATAGCACAGGCCCGACTTCAGAGAAGGGGCGGGGCCCTCCCGGACGGCTCGCCGGGGGACCTCTCGGAGAAGTGGGCCTTCCCCAGAGACACCGAGCGCCTCTCGAGAGAAGGCGCGAGGGATCCTGAGAGGTCCCGCCGCCTCCCCAGAGCCCCTCGAGTAATGAAAAAATCATGACAGGACGTTTTTCGTAATTTTCGGCCTCCGGGGGCCCTCACCGGGCCTCGGGAGCGTCAAAAAACGACTCAGGACGAGAAACCGGTCATGGGGAAAGGTTCGGGACCTCTGGGGGTCGACGTAATGAAAAAATCATTACGTCGGGGGTCTGGGGAGGAGGCCTGCCCCTTCTCCATCGCCCCCCCCCCCGCTCGCGCTCGCAGACGACGCCGGAGACGCTGGACAAGGGGGGGGGGGCCGTCGGGGGTGGGCGGAACCCGCAACAGCGACACGTCGATTGGTGAAGTGTCCGTTTTCGGTGCTCGAGAGGGCGCCGTGGCCGTCAGGTTCCAGGCCTGCGCCACGCCAGGCTTGGGCCTCGGGTCGTTTTCGCTGAACCACGTTTTGCTACAGGGGGGGTCTGTTCATCCCCGAGGGGGGGTGGTGCGGCCCAGCCTGCTCGGTGTCATCCCCGAGGGGGGGGGGTGCATCCCCGAGGGGGGGGGGGGTCTGTGCCTCCCCGAGGGGGGGGTCTGTGCATCCCCGAGGGGGGTCTTGTGCCTCCCCGAGGGGGGGGTCCTGTGCCTCCCCGGGAGCGCCCCCTGCTTCGCCGAGCGGGGCCCGGGTGCCCCCGCCTGCGCGGCAGCGCGGGGCTGCCCCGTCGGGGAGGGGGGGCCTGTCGCGGGCCGGTCGGGTGGAGGGGGCGAGCGCAGACATGATGTGCCCTCAAGTCGGGCGCGTCCCTCCACAGGAGGGGGAATATCCCCAAAATAGTCAGACAACAGGCTGGGGACAACGTTTTGAGCGTTGCAGCACTATGGTTGGATATTTTTTGGAGCATATTTTACTATCCCTCCAGAGTCCCCCCGTAGGGGGACACGCCCATCTTAAATGCACCCCAAAGTTATCAGGGGCGGCCAGAACGACTCCTGGCCAACATTCCCCTTCTGTGTGCGGCCGGACGGGAGCTCGAGCGGCGAGGATGCCGTCACGGCAGGGGATGGTTTGCCAGGGGTCGGTTAGGCCGCGCCAGAAATTGTGTTCCCCCGTCGAGTCTTCGAAAAAATGCGCACGATGGACCTACGGGGCATTCTACAAATTTTTCGCAGTTCCACGGGGAAAAAACAATTGCGGGGTAAATGCTAGACATGTTGTAGTCGATCTCCTACTCGAATCGGTGATGCATCCCGCCCCCCCCCCCACGCACACCTTCCCCTCCCCTTTTTCCACCCCAGGCCCCCCGACGTCGTGATGTTCTCATGACGTGGGTCCCATAGTCTGGACCCCCTCCCGGGGGCCGGCTTCTCATCCCGAGCCGGTTTTTGCACGGGTCCGCGAGCCCGGTGAGGGCCCCCAGACGCCGAAAATAGAGGGAGGGAAGCTTTTCGGGGGCGGAAAAGAGGGGGGTGATGACTGGGGGGATATCATGGCGGGGGCCATGATATTTCCCCAGATCTCATGGCGCCCCTTCTTATTTCATTACGTCCCCGGCCCCCCCCCTGGGCCGCGCACATGCCGCCGGTCATGATTTGCACCCCCCCCTCTTGGACACCCCCCTCTTGGCCGCCCCCGAGCCTTGCGTCGTCAGTCCCCTCCGATCGATTGGCGCAAGATAGCGATGTCGTTTGCGACGGCATCGGCGCGCAAGCTGCACGCGCAGGGTCGCACGTGAGCGCCCCCTCGTCTCCGAGGTGGCGTGCGGCGCAGCCGCGCTGAGGCGGCCCCCGTAGGCCGCCGCGTGAGGTCGCCACGCCCCTCCTCCCCCTCCTCCTCCTCCTCCTCCCTCCTCCTCCTCCTCCTCCCCTCCTCCTCCTCCTCCTCCTCCTCCTCCTCCTCCTCCTCCTCTCCTCCTCCTCCTCCCCTCTCCTCCTTCTCCTGCTCCTCTCTCCTCCTCCTCCTCCTCCTCCTCCTCCTCGCTTCCTCCTCCTCCTCCTCCTCCTTCTCCTCCTCCTCCCCTCCTCCTCCTCCTCCTCTCCTTCCTCCTCCTCCTCCTCCTCCTCCTCCTCTCCCCCTCCTCCCCTCCTCCTCATCCTCCTGCTCCTCCTCCTTCTCCTCCTCCTCCTCCTCCTCCTCCTCCTCCCCTCCTCCTCCTCCTCCCCCTCCTGCTCCTCCCCCTCCTGCTCCCCCATCCGGCTCATCCTGCTCCTCCTCCTCCTTATCCTCCTATCTCGCGTGAGGCCCTGGTCTTCGTGCGTCGGCCCCCCTCCCGGCGGCGGGCGAGGGGGGGAAAGCGAGACGGAGAAGGCCTTCTCGGGAGGTTCGGAAGTCCCCCAGGCCCTCCGAGGAGCTGTCTAAAAGCCTTCCCCGAAGACGGAGGAGACTCCTCAGAAGGCGCGAGGGCTTCTGAGAAGTCCCGCCGCCTTCGGAGAAGGCCCTCAGAGGCCCCCCCTCGCTCGCCGCCAACCCTCAGGATAGAGCAGCTGAACTTCGATCGCGTCTACTCGGTCGAGGAGGGCGAGTACGACGCCTCCGTGGCGGAGCGGCGTGGCGCGGAGGGCCCCCCCAGGCGGGGCGTGGCCAGGCTGCTGAAGCTCCAGAAGAACCAGAACTACGTGGTGCTTCGCACGGGAGACGACAGGCCGTCCGGGGGGGCGAGCCTGTGTCAAAAGCGGCCCGTGTGAAACCAACGGGTTGGAAATGCATGGCATTGTCTTTCAACTGTTCACCTTTGCTGAGGTGCGCTGCTTCGCAGCTGTGCTCAAAAGGAGGGGTCGTCCAAGCCAGCAGCAGCATGGGTCGGAAAGGAGCAGAGGGGGTCTTCTTGTGTTCTCGAGCTGCCGAAGACCGCTACTCTTGCCTCGCTTTCGCCTGTTTGGGCCTCCTGGCAACACCAATCCACTTTCCCTGTGGGACCGCGCGTCCTGATCCAGTCCATGGCGCACCTTGTCCTGTGCAAGTTCTTCGGCACCGCCTGTTTTCTGAGCCCTCTGGCCGCCTGAGGCCCCGCCCGCCCGCGCCCTGTCTCCCCGATTAGGGCTACCCGCGTCCCGTTTAGCTCCTGACCGGAAGGGGCCCGCTCCCAACCCGCAGACCAAAAAAACTGTTTGGGCCTCCTGGGAGGCTTTCGCCGCCACGGCCGGACTCGCCTCGAAGTCCTTGTCAAAGCCTACCGCGCGGTTCCCCCGAGCCGCGGAGGAGGAGCGCGGGAGGAGGCATCGGGCACCGAGACTCGTCGCCGCAAGGAGTGCGCAGGCTGCCTCTCGGGAGCCTCGAGACGGTGGTCTATGCAAACGGGGGTCAGCCAGGGCACCGGATCCTGCAGGATCCTGCGAAGACCCCCTCTGGCTGACCCGGGTTAGCGAGCCGCTCGTGGCCGCGAGGCGGCCGCACAGATTGGCTGACCCAGGTTTGCGAAGACCTGCGTTGCAGTTTCTTTCCTTGCATTGCAGTTTTTTGGTTTCCTGCTGACCCGGGTCTGTATTGACCCGGGTCAGAAGATCCCCGAGCCTCCAGCGCCGGAGGCCCGCGTACCTGCAGGCTCACAGGTGCGCGATCGGTCCAAGCTTTGAGTCGGGCGTGTCCCTCTACAGGAAGAAAATTCAAAATCCTCGAAACATAGTCAGGGGAGATGTTTCGACCATTTCTTTGTTGTTTGATTTTCTTGGGTTGTGTTTGATCTTTCGTCTAAAATCCGCCTGCGGGGGGACATGCCCGACCTAATCCAAGCTGCTGAAGGGGGGTGGCCAGCCCCGTGATCGACCAGAGAGGCAAGCCGCCATCCGCCCGGCGGCAGGCAGAGTGCTGTGGCCGACGGTCGGGTATAGTCTAGGCTCCGCTACAGACGACAGGCCAGGGTGTCCAAGTTTGAATGCCCACTTGGCCTTGGTCTGCTGAGAAAGTCTGATATTCCGTAACATTTTGCAGTTGCATTGTTCAAGGAATAGAAACAGCATGCAAAAAGGGGAATAGAAAAAAAAGGGGGAGAAACAACAAATGTCCGAAGGATTTGGTCTCTCCAGCGCCGGCGCTGTTCCTTCGTGTCGGGCTCCAGGGGCCCGGGCCGCCCGGCGGGGCCATCCAGAGTGGATTTGGGGCGGCCAGCTATGCTGTGGGGCCTCGCACCAAACAAAACGGCACATCATCCCCAGACCCCCTCGAGAAATGAAAAAATCATGACGGAAGGTTTTCCTCAATGTTCGGCCTCCAGGGGCCCTCACAGGGCCTCGGGAGTGTCAAGAAACGGCTCAGGATGCGCAGCCGGTCATGGGGAATGGGTCGGGACCTCAGAGGGTCGACGTAACGAAACGAAAAAGTCATTACGTCGGGGGTCTGGGTCGGATGGCTGGGTCCACGGCGGCAAAGGGGAGGAAGAGGAGGAGGACAAGACAAGACCAGAGCGGCTCGATGTCGTCACTGAGCCGCACAGAGCGAGAGAGAGAGAGAGAGCGGGCTCAGCATGCGCAAGATGTGTAGTAGAATGGAAAGCTGTGTGACCGCTGTGGGAAAGCGCCTACCAGCGGTTCTGCGGGGGGGATACTTCTGGCCCAAGGAGGGACCACACCTGGAAGCCCGAACAGTTCACCTGGCATCGCTCGGACGTGTGCATTTTTTTCTCGGCAAGGACCTTGGAGGAGCATCCTGGATCATCGAGCAAGCAAAAACACGCACGAAACCGAAAAATGCACAGGGAATGGACGTCCGATCGATGGCAAGTTCAACTGCTAATCATTCTGAGCTGGCACAGGCACAGTATACGGGGTGGGAGGAGTAGGTCGAGCGAGCCTGAGTTAGGCTGAGCGTATCAACGCTGAGCTTCACTGGGGTTCCCGTCAGCTGAAGCATGAGAAACCTTACGGTCGCCCGAGCCGCACCGGTGGGGACAGCATAGGGAGGGGCTGCCGCTCGAGGCCTCCTCGCGATTCCCTCGCACACAAAGCGAGCGCCCGAGGCATCCTCTCAATGTGCTCGGGAAGAGGGCTCCCGCTTGAGACTTGCCCAGGATTCGGGATCCCGGGTGCCACCAAACCTATGTCTTCACATGGTACTCCGATGGCCGCCTCGGAGTTCCAACATTCCACTACGGAGGGGTCTCCCGCTGGAGGCTTCCCCGTGATTCGCTCACAGACGAGCCTCCCGCTCGAGACTTCCTCCGTACATGTGTGTGAGTGATTGAGTGAGCGTGTGTGCGCGATGATGATGATAATGATAATGACGATGAAGATAACTATGATGAAGGAACTAAATAAGATGATTAAGCAAATGTTGCTAATGATTATGATGATAATGATGGTGATGGTGAAGATGCTGATGCTGATGACGATATTGATGAGGAAGAGGATGAGGATGATGTTGATGATAATGATGGTGTTGGTGCTGATGATGATGAGATGATGATGATGATGATGATGATGGTAAGGATGACGACGCCGCCCACGACGACGATGATGCTAACCACGATGACGATGGTGATGATGCTAATGGTCGTGATGATGATGATGATGATGATGCTGGTGACGATGAAGATGATGGTGGTGTCGATGATACTGATGATGGTGCTGGTGATTATGGTGATGATGACTATGGTAATGAAGATGATGCTGATGATGATGGTGATGATGGTTGTGGTGATGACGGGGATGACGATGGTGATGATGATCATCATGATGACGATGACGCTGGAAATGATGATCATCATGATGATATTGTGATTCTGGTGGTGATGGTGGTGATGATAATGTTGATGATGATGACGATGGTGGTGGCGATTATGATGATGGTGATGATAATGGTGAGTGTGATGGTAATGATGATGCTGCCGATGATGATGATGATGATGATGATGATGATGATGATGATGACGATGACGATGATGATGATACTGATAGTGATGATGATGATGATGATGATGATGATGATGATGATGATAAAGATGATAAAGATGATAAAGATGATGGTGATGATGATGACGATAAATATACTGATGATGATGTGATGCTGCCTCTGCTGATGCTCATGATGATGGTGGTGGTGGTGGTGAAGTGGTAGATGACCGATGAGCATGATGACGATACTATGATGGTGGTGGCGATAATGACGTGGGTGCTGTCTTATTCAATCGCTTCGCTCATTCCGCCGGCCCATGTTGCATGATCGCTACTGCTTCGCCGTGGGCCCGGGGCCATTGTGGCGCCGCCGAGGAGGAAGAAGATGAGGATGGGGAAGGGGAGGGGAGGAGGAGGAGAGGATGAGAAGGAGATGAGGAGGATGAAGATAAGTAGGAGGAGGAGGAGGAAGAGGAAGGGGCGGAGGAGGAAGCCTCTCGTTGGCATCTTGTGTTGCTCTTGGGGCCAAACAGGGTCGTCGTCAAGATGCTTCTCTGGGAGGCCTCTTGGGGTCTTTTCAGAAGCCGTTCGAGGGCGCCTGGGAGGCATTTTTGAAGTCTTCTGGGGGGCCTCCTGGGGGCCTCCTGGGACCTCTTGGGGGCCTCTTGGCGGCATCTTGGGGCCTCTTTGGGGCCTCTCGGGGCCTCCTGGGGCCCTCTTGGGGCGGAAGGCTCGGGGTTTTGGTTCGTGGTCCCCCTCTTGGGCCCCTCTTGGGGCCGTCTTGGGGCCGTCTTGGGCCGTCTTGGGCGCCTCTTGGGTCGCTCGGGGCCCTCTTGGGCCCTCTTGGGGCCCTCGTGGAAGCCTCTTGGCCCGTCTTGGGGTGCTCTTGGGGGCCTCCTGGGCCGTCTTGGAGCATCGGATGGCCGAAAAGGGGACAAGGCCCAAATTCTTTCAAAACCATCGTAAAATGTCTGATTTGGGCCTCTCAGGGCCCTCTTGTGAGGCCTCTTGGAGGCCACTTGGAGGCCTCTTGGGCCGTCTTGAGGTCATCATCGGCGTCTTGGAGCGCTCTTTAGGCGTCTCGGGGGCCCTTTGGGCAGTCTTGGGGGCCTCTTGGGGCACTCTTGGCGCGCTCTGGGGGGCCTGAGAAGCCACACCCAGGAGGAAAACCATCTCTGAGTAGCAGTGGTCGGGCGGCGGTCG